TGGAGGGTTATGGCTGCATCTGAAAGAAGTAAATACCCGGCCACACATGTCATTTCCTATTCCATCTTAATCTGATTGAAATAACATCTAAAAGCCAGATGCTTGCACATTAAAACCTTCCTCCCACCCTTTGTTGAAAGGGTTAAAATAGAACCAGCAGCACTGAATGAGATTGTTTAAGGCCAATCTTGACCCTGTTCATTCCGGAAAACTCTCCTCTACGGAAGTCTGAAAAGATCACGGAGAGTTCCAGAAGTCCTCCCCATTAACATATGTGCATGATGCGGACCTGGCAGTTTCTCTCTGGCTCTTTGAATTACCCCTACCTAGAACTGGACAGCCATCTGGATCCCGACAGAGAGCCGAAACTTGAACATCGGTGACTATGTGGCCAATTCACACTTCCCATAAGCAAGTACTAGGACATTAAAAATCTCAACTCTGGCATAGGATCTGAGCACATCCCATTTGGATTGATTTCCTCTCCTCGCTTTCAGGTGTTCTTCTTTTCCTTGCTTTCGTAGGAGGCACCCACAGTAATATTTCCAAGGTATGGACCTGACTCCCCAGGCAGCCTACTCTCAGGTTTCTTGGCTGGGAAAGCTAAACTGGCAAAAAATTACATGTCACCTTCACCCTCCTGACTTTTTTAATGAGGTCAGCACCCCTCTCCCCACTTTGGAAGAGTCCTTCCTGGGACTGTGTCTTCACATCCAGACTGGCAAGTAAACTCCAAGAGGCCACAACTATGGCTGCCTCCTCTAGGTCTCCTGGAGAAAACAAAACGTGGAAGGGGCCTGTGCTGCTGAGGCTGAGTGAGCACTGTGGAATTGGGGCCTGGGAAAAGAGCCCCAGATTTTCCTTCTCGTTTTAGAAACACAGAAGAAATCTGGAAGCCACCAAGGTGGGAAGTTGTATGGACTCATTACTCCTGGGGAATGGAAAAAGTGAGGGCGAAAAGGTTACTCATGGTCCACATTTTTTCCATTGATTATTTTACTTAGAATATGTCATTTCCCTGGAAAATCGAGGAGGGGGGATATTTTCTTTTGAGTATCTTCAAACATTTGCAAATGGTTACTCTGAACTCCCCAATGTACCATAAACAAGTGTAAACTGTAGAAATTCAGAAAATGTACAAATACAAACAGCTATCCCCCAAGCTCCAAGGCAAAGACAAAGAAGGGAGTATTCCATTTACAAATGGAATTCTTTGTGGATAGAATAGTTTGGAAACTGTTTATCCATTGTTTTTCTTATTATTTGGGGGGATATATTTTTTCAGTCTACAGAAGCTGCAGCACTGGCATTTGGAGCCTTGAAAGCTAAAGATTAAAGTGAGATGACAGCCTTTCAAAATCTTCGACCAAAACTTAATTAGTTCTGCCTCTAAGACAATATCTGCCCAATGAAATAATTTGTAATTCATATCAACAAAGAAAAATGCATAAAGTCAAGTAACCAGGAACAGAATCACTTCAAAATGGAAAAAACAAAACAAAACAAAACAAAACAAAAAACCCAAAAAGCACCAAACCTGTTATTTGCCAAGAACTAGCACATATGATGGCTTCTTAAAAAAAAAAAAAAAAAAAAAAAAAAAAAAAAAAAAACAAAACTAGCTGCCTGGATTATTGATTTCAAGATACAGTCCACTTCAAATCTGTTTAAGATGATAAACAAATAAATTGACCAGTAATAGAGTATGAGAATGGCAGGCACAGTGAAAAAATATGAAGAGCACTGACAAGTGACCCACAGGCTTTCCAAGAGAAATAATATATGCGTCACCAACAAGCATACGGAGAAATCACTCAGCCGTACCTCATCCCCCACATCTCAGTCCCGTTTAATGCTTTCCACTTTGGCTTTAACTCGTCACCAACAGCATTCACTGTCATGGCACAAAAGCCATGCCGTCCTTTATTTAACGGATGCATTTCCAATTTCCACAACCATATGAATGGGTTGGGTTTCTGAAGGCATAGAAGAAAAACAGCACCACATGTGCACAGAAAATCAGGAAGGGTCAGAGGATATGAGTGAATTACAGCAGCTTGAGACCGTACTGTGAGGAGACACGCAACTCCAGAGGGCAAGAGGAAATAAGATTTAGTGAAGGAGAGGCAGTTCTTCCCCCATCTTAAATCACTTGCCTCGTCACCCCTGCTGTAGCTGGCAAAGCCCAAGTGTCTCTGACTTTAAAGAAAAGCTGTAATTTCTTGGGGGGAGCCACCATAAAAAGAACTCTCCAATCTCTAGGGGCTATTGGCAATTTTGTCACTGCATCTTCTGAAATTGGCTAAAGCCAGGTTAATATTTTTAGTAACGACTCTGGTCCCCATACAAGACCCTAGCCTGATTCTTGATTCAGAGACATATATCATCCAAACAGCTATCATGTATTTCATGCTTTTATGTTCTTCTGGTCCCATGCTACTCATGGACCTGTGGCACTATTCTTGACCTGGTCACTTCTCACTCCAGGAAGGGTAGTAAAATGTGCTCACCCTTCTGTTCCTCCTTTAATGTCATCTGAATGAGTGATATCAGAATATATTTAAAATTACAATTCCCAAGCTTTCTGGCTTTCTAAAGGCCATAACTTCTGTGTCCCACACCTTCCCGTTACTCATTGCTTTGTCAACCAGATTAAACTACTCTGGCGGAGAAATCAGGGGCATTTTCAGTTGAGGTGACTATGAAGAAGGCTGAGCCCATCTGTCTTTGGACAGCAGAACTTGTAGATGTAAAATCAAGAAACGATGGGGAACTGATTCTTAGTGTTCTGCTCCTGCTGGCAAAGCCATTAATGGAAAAGGAAACCTCAAACTATGATGACTGAGAAACCCTTCTTGCACCACCTAGCACGCCCCTCCTAGCTCTGGCTCTATGCTTCCCAAACAAACCTCTGGCTGTCAGTTAGGTAGGTGCCCGCGTAAATGTGCCAACTTAGAGACAATGGTCTGGACATGCCACATCAATGGTTCTGGTCCACATTTCTATTTCCCCCTGTGGAGTAACGGGCTGTTAGTCTAGGTTTGTTGGTTGTTGCTGTAAAAACAAGAATTAAACACTGTCCAAAAAAAAAAAAAAAAAGACTTGAACACTTTCTCAACACTTAAGTAGTAAGTACACTTGGTTTTTGTCTAGGAACTTTACCCAAGACAACTAAGGAGAATAAAAGAATTTCATTGAGGTGCCTGGGTGGCTCAGTCGGTTAAGCATCAGACTCTTGATTTTGGCTCAGGTCATGATATCATAGCTCAGTTCGTGAGTTCAAGCCCTGCTCTGGGCTCCCCGCTGACATTGTGGAGCCTGCTTGGGATTCTCTCTCCTTCTCTCTCTCTCTGCTCTTCCCCCACTCACGTTCTCGCTCATGCACACACACTCTCCCTCTCTCGAAAGAAAGAAAGAAACTTAAACAGAATTTTATCAAGTAGGGTCATCAAGGGACCAATTAGCCTATTCTTTTACAGTGGTTAAAGAAAACGGAGCTCTGGAATCAGCCTGGATTTGCATCTCGACTGCTTACTAACTCGGTCGTCTTGGGGAAGCTACTTAATTTCTGTCTCAGTTTCCTCATCAGTAAACGGCAGACAGTAATGATTACCATACAGATCCAGATCCAAATAAACACCACTGAAAAACACTTAGAAGAGGGCCGACACATACAACCATGAGCAACTGTTCTTCCTATAAGGTCCACCTCCACCCAGGCTTCCTTCCTCCCTGGGTTTACATTGCCACCAAACTGTCCCTGTCTTGGGAGCAGACACTGTTTCATGTTCACCTTTGTATCTTCCCAGTTCCTGGAAGGAGCTGCACACCAATTAGGGCTCAGCAAATGTTCATTTCTCTTCCTTTCTCTCCACAAACAGTTGGTAAACCTCAACTGAACAGTAGTCCGTTTGCTGCCCTCTGGGATAGCAGGCCTGGGTCTGGCAGGCGAGTTCACACCGGTTCCCCCACTTGCTAGCTCTAACTTGGAATGCAGCTCCATGCCTTGTGCTCCTTAGTGGTAAAGTACAGATGATGCCTATTCTGTCAGGTGGTGGAAAGATCAAAAGAGGCCACATCTGGCTCTAGTGGGCAAGCCACACATGCGAGTTCCTCTTCCCCTTACTGAGACTCTGGACTCATTATCAGTAGCTCATTTGGCATTAAGCACGATTCCCTCCATGAGGTCAGATAGGTGTACTTGCAGCCACTTCAGCAGTGTGGCCCTTTCTCCTGTCAAAGCCTCCCACCGCCTTCAGGGGTGAGCAGCCCACCAGCTGAGCCACTGAGCCCAAGCAAGGAGAGAATGCCAAGCTGGTCAACAATGCTGGAGGCCTGCCCTGGGGGAAGCTGGTTGATGACAACATGAAGGAAGAGACTCCCTGGACGGGAGCTGTGGGCCACTGCTTCAGCACTCTGCCGGGCAAATGGGGCTTGGCGGCCTGGGTTCAGCTGGCATTAGCAGGGAAGAAGGTTAGTTTTTGGTCTCATCTTGCAGATGCAATCCATGGCTTTTGAGAAAATTTGGGGGGTTGAGACATTCTGTCAATAAGACCACCCAGCCACCGGAAGTGGCCCAGCTCACCGTTTACCACAGCTCTGTAACCTCATGATTGAACTTTTAAGGGTCCCAAGTAATCTCTCCTTCCTCCCCACATCCCCCTCTTCCTCAACGGGGTGAATTACAGAGATGAGCATAAGAATAAAAGTTTGGTTAAGTAGACAGTGTTTCAAGTCAGATTCAAGCCTGGGCTTCACCATTAAATAAGTGACCTTGGGCATGGCATCTACATGCTGTGACTCAGCTTCCTCAGCTCTAAAGTGGGCATGATGTTGGATCAAAAAATGATGACAGTGTGTGACCACATTAGGTGTGCTGTAAAGCATGTACGGTAAAATTATGTTTATCGGTACAACTCCCTCACGCCTCTGCCTTGCAAGAAGAAATAAGGAGAAGTGCATTGGCTCGTGCGCAGGAGAGCCCCGGTGTTCATACAAACCTTTTACTTATTCTGATTTCTAATTCGGAGGCACCTCCTTTTGAGCGGAGGCTCCAGGTCCTCCGGCCCGGCGCTGAGCATGGGCGAGGAGATGATGCATGGCGCCATGGCAGTCTTCTCCGCGGGTTTTGGCACAGGCTGGATCACGCAGCCCGTCTTGGGCAGCATCCGCAGAGCATACGCGTGGTCCTCGTCCGCGGGGTTATTAAGGTTCGGGTCTGACTTGTCGCCCCCCGCCAGGGCCTCCTCCCCCATCAGCTTTTTGGCCGCCTCCCCGTCCAGGTGACAGTTGGAAGCACAGTTGTTCTCCTTGACCGACTCCAGCTCGCTCACCGCCGGCTCCTCGGGCGACAGCAGCTTCTTGGGGGGCGCGGGCGGCGGCGGCGGCGGCGGGGGCTGCTCCGGGGGCGGCTCCGCGCTCTTGGCGCCCTCGGCGGCGCTGCGCGTGCCGTTTACG